GAGAAGCTGTAAACTTGGAGCAAGCCCAGACCATTCAGGGGGCATCCAGTGATGCTCCAGCATCAGACCACAAGGGCCAGACCCGGTACCACAGCTGCTGGCAGCCAGAGGTCCCAACTCACAAACTAACAGCCAGAAAGTCTGGCTCTGGCCAGAAAGCCCACCTTGTTAAGCTCTGTCCCTCTGCCACAAAATGCCTTTTCCCAGCAGATGGGAGGCGATTTCACTACAGCAGATGGCAAATATCCCTCAGACAGGGCATGGGATGAAAACCACTGGGACAAACAGGAGGGAGGGCCAAGCACATAGCAAACTACGCACCCAGAAACGTAGCCATGGCTCGCTCAGCCGTGCTTCGCAGCGTCTCTCCGGGCTGCCATTCCGCTTGAGGCAGGAGCCACAGCTCCTGGTTACCGATTTTCTGTTTCACCAGAAGCATCAGGTTACTGTCCAGCTTCCTGTCCAACGACGTTCGATTGTTGTTTTTATCAGCATCTGCCAAAAACCAACACATGCTGAAAACAAAGTCTCCTGGCAGCACTGCTACGACTCCCTTGATTCATCACCTCCTCTCCATTTTGTACCCTTCCAGCAATAATACACAAATATGGATATGGCGAACAACACAAAAATCCAGGCCAAAATGGTCTCGGTTGCTCTGGAAGCCAGTGCAGGATTCAGCTGGAACCCACTGCTAGACTGCACCCTGTTTCATTTCCAGAAAGAATTGACAGGAAGCAGCCTGGATCTCTAGCTTGACAAAAATCAGCAAGAGCATTGGGCAGAGCTTTAGAACTAAGCGACCAAACATTTCTCTTGTCTGGAAACAAGATCTATTTTCATCATTTTGCTCTGGTAAGGCTGAACACACACCTTTGCAGCATGGGAACACTAATTCCCTTGTCAGCCAGTTAATTCCTCACATGCTAACAGTGCTGCCACAAAGGCAAGACTTTCTTTAAAGCAAAAAAAAAAAAAAACCCAGCAAGTGCCTTCCCTCCACTAAACTGCACTCACCTACGTAGAAAAGACTCGGTAAATGCCTTCCCTCTACTGAATTGCACTCAGCTGTGTTTGGTAGACAGTCAAGGTGTTTTCTCTTACCAGAAGCTTCAGCCCATACCTGTTATCCGTGGAGCAGCTTTGAATTGCAGTAACTTCTGTTCCCACTTGTCCTCCAGGTCCTGAGCCATAATGACCGTTTTGCCAGGCATTTCATCATCATATGTGCTTTCTCTCCTCCTTCTGAGCTGCTCCTCCTCCTCCAGCTTGCGGATTTCATGATCTGAATAGTGGCTTTTCTCCAGCTCTATCTAGAAGGGAAACACAGAGAACTGCTAGGGCACCAGCACCACGGGCTGGACTTGGCAAGCAAAATTAAGTTATTTCTACTTCAGTGAATGCAAAACGATGAGAATTTCTCTAGGCCTGAGCAGGACTTCCCTGCTCACAGCAAGGAAACGTGAACACCAACAGCATTAAGACCACAGCAGCGCTACCGAGACCCACGGCAGC